AACTGCAAATAAATGGCCTCACTACTAAGACAGAAAAAGGCATGCTGAATTTAAGTTACAGTCTATCAGCTGAGTTCTAACTTAATTTATTTTTTCAATGTATGGCAGTAGCTGTAAGGGACCATTTGTTACCCAGTCTCATCTGGGTTTATAAATAGTTTGTGATAATGAGGTTTTCCTACAGAAAAAATGAAATAATTTATGGCAAATTGAGGGAAAATTTGCCCTTTTACTGATATGTGGTGTAGCATTTGATTCCTAAGAGTTTAGAAATAATCAAGTCTGACTGGGTATATAATCAAGAAAACCCAAATGTTATAGTGTGTTTGTGTATGGGCATATGTGCACCATATGGAAGCCAGCATGCACTGCTAAGAAAGGTGCTTGTGGTTGGAGTGATAAAATCATGCTTTAAGAACTAAAATAATGTTTTTAAAACAATCTTCAAGACTTGTAGTTTCACTTGGGCAAAGCACTCCTCCAGCTTCTGTCTTGAATATTTGTGTGCCGCTGAAGTCTTGCAGATGACATACTGGTCTGGGTTACACTTGAGAAATGAAACCAGTAAAATCCTGGGAATGTTATTATCTTCACATGCTTCAACTGTAATCCATTAAGCAGTCAGAAAATGCTCTCTCTTTCTGCAAATTTACCTTTTCAGACCAGTTCAGCTTGAACTTGTTTAGTGCCACTGTGGCTGTAGATGAGCTGAAATGGTTCAATTGGTCCCGCTAGTCTTATTTCACAGTGCACTAGTGACTTTACAGAATCTCCCAGAATCCATCGCTACTCAGAATAGAGTCAAGAATTGTTAGAAGGTCAAAGGACACTAACTGAAAAGATCAAGAGATCTTTAAGAGATCACCACTGTAAATGCAAAACAAACTGATTCAGCATGGCTTGTTTGAACACAAGGGGCACATCCAGATGAGTGGCATGTGCATTTTGCAGCACCTCAAAGGCTTTTAAGGTGCTGCAAAATGCACACACCACACATGAAAGGGCTCTCCGTGCTTCATATTTGTAGCTCAGGGACAAAATTAGATACTAGGAACTCCTGGTATCTAAAAAAAAATAAGCAGGGTGGCACATGTGGCTGCACTGTGAGCTGCCTGCAACTAGAGCCTGGCCAGTTACTGGCCAGGCTCTGTGTGCCTGGATTAGCACTGCTGCAGCCCCAGAAGACCCATAGAACCCCAGCTAAGGCTGCGGCCAGCTCAGGTTCCGGCCCCAGTTCTCCCTAACTCACCCAGAGCAATCTGCACCTGCCAGAGCACGTGTGCAGGGGCATTCCCTAGGAACAAGTAACAGTGGCACAACTATGGGTCACTGCTGTTTGTCCCCGGGGAAATATGTGCACGCTTATCTGGATACACCCAAGGATTGCTTGGGCTTATACCAAAACAATTACAAATAGTTCAATTTTCTAAATAGACAATTCTTAATACATTCTTTACATGTTCTCATACTATTATCTAGTGTTGACAATGCCATGCTATGCCTGAACCTATTCCAAAAACACTTACTAGAGCAGACTATCAATTTGGCTGACAAAAAAAAAAATATATAAAATCCATATATTTTCGCTTCTTGTGAAACAAGGTAATCTAATCCAAGTTATTACATTGTTTTTAGCTGATGTGATTAGACTTCATTTGACATGCAGCAATAACATATTGCAAGGAATCTTCTGGGGGTACTACAGAACTAATTATGATGGCATATTTGTGTAGAATAATTTAAATTGATTGAATTCATCTTCCTAGATAAAACTTGCGGACAACTAGTTTCTTACAGTTGCTTGATTATCTCAAAAGGCCCTCAATATACAATTTAATCTCTTAAATGTGACATATAAACAGTGAGATACAGTTTGTATGTGCTTTATTTAATTATAAATGGCCTATTTTATTAAATAAAATTACCAAATCTAATATTCTGCTGAGAAGCACAAGGAAATGGCACAACTGAAAAACACCTAAAAAAAAAAAAAAAAAAATCACCAAAAGGAATGCCCGAGAAAAGTGCATATTTTTTAAATTAAAAGAACAAGACAAAATCTTTTGACTCTTTATTTTGATGTTTAACTTCTAGATTATGGTACCATAACAAGTAAAGTTCTGCAAATATCAGCTGCTGTCTATTATCAACAGTTTATATACATGTACAAAATATGGTAACAGCTATATTTTTCAATGTATATGTTAAACATGCAACTACGTCTTGCATTTTTACCTTTCAACTACTTTTTCACCCTCCCAAAAAACATGTTATCAACATATCTAAGTTACTGCATTTCCACTTACTTGTAGAATCAAGCAGAAACATGAGGGATCCTTTTACCATTTACGTTCTGCTTAGATTTTACTAAACACACGAAAAAAGTAGTAAGCTAATGGCTAAAATGTACATTAACATATTTGGTTTCCTAATATTTTTACAAAAAAATTTGTCGGTGATCTCCTAGGGGGAAAACAGAATTCTTACAAATACGTGAACAATTCTCTGCCTCCCTAAAACATACACAATATTCTTTAAAGTGGTCAACTTTTAAAAAATTCACTACAAAAGAAAAAAAATTTTCCCATCTTGTAACTCCCTGTACTAAAAATCAAACTCCAAGAAGGTATGCCTGTTTTTCTGCCATCTGTACAGTATGACCAAAACGGTTCCCCTCCGTCCCCTTCCTGCGCCAAAGGCATCAAAATGAGCCTTCCACCTTCTACTCAGACAGGAAAAACATATTTGACTGAAATAAATTTGGTTGGAGTAGTTCCATAAGTTGGATACTGCTTTAAAAGATGGTTAAGATTTGAAGGATTGTACAGCAAATTCATAAGAAAATACAAATATTAGTTTCCACAGGATTTATCAGTCAAACTTTAAAATAACTTTGCTTGTTAAAAGCTCAGTGAAACCCTGTGAGTTTTGCTATAGTTTCTAGTGGAGTTCAAATCTTTATCCTAGCCCAAAACAAGCTGTGAGCTGGGGATTTCTAGTGGGAAAAGCCAAATTCCTCATTTTACAGAATAGGAAAGAAGCTCTTCCTCAGCTACAACAGCAAGCTTGACGCAGGCAGTACGTATGGAAGAGAATAGTACAGCCGTGCAGTGACGGATCCATCATGACTGCTTTTTCCTTTGTCTCACCCTTCCTTCTCATTCCCCTTGGTGTTGGGGCTTGGGAATGGCCAAATGCAAATACACAAATCACACAAAGTCAGTTTCCTCCACAACTGAACTGGCTGAGCAAAGATTTATTTTTACATTACCCATCCTAATTTGTTCCATGTATTTTTAAGCTTCCAAAGGTTGGGACAACTTTAAAAATCTTGTTTTCAGAACAGCTCATGGCATGAGATGTAAAATCATGTGCGGTTGGTTGTCTTTCTGGCTTTTGGCAAGTTCATGCTCTATTTAAATATACAAGATTACTGTCATTTTAGCCTTGCTAGTTAAAGTATTCACTTCCTGAAACATGACAGTGAACAACAGCCCAAGAAGATCAAGGTAAATAAATACAGGCATGTACATCTCTTTCTCAATATGCCATAGTTCCGTATCATACCAAAGTTAAAGTGTGTTGGGTTCTGCCAATGTTCATTGCACTTAAATGTGTTATAATGTTTTATGCACAAAAGTTGTAAAGGACATTTCTCTTTGCATGTGAAGACATTACTGATTCCCAGCCATAGTAAAATCCAAATAGTAATCATCAGAGTGAACCTGTACAGAGACAAAGTTCCCCTCCCAAAAAAATTTTTAAGGAATGTCATTGCTGTTGTATTTAATGGCATCAGTTATTCATTAGACTAAGGCACTAAAAATAACTATTTAATTTGACAACTGTAATTGCTAAACTAATACATTAATATAGAAAGAGTGTCAGCATTTCACAGGCTGATAATACCCTGATTTACAACTATAACAATCCCATGTCAACAACACTGTCCAGGGTGCAATTTAGGCAGAATTTAATATCAAGTTAATAAATTAAGGAAACAAATCTGAACAGGTAATCCTTTACTATTATTTACTGTTTATAACAGTGCCTAGATTTGTGACTATACAATTTGATTTCTCTTATTGAATTACTTTCTAGAAGCAGTGAGGATTTCTTGGCTAAAGACTCAACTAAATCATCATTGCAACAGAAAGACCCAACATGCTACTTACTTTACATTAATAGGACTAGATCCATTCATAACTGGAATTCTATTTAATATGATATTGGTTTTAAATGGATGATTTGCTCCTACTGCAAACTATTTACCTGCTCCTACTGATACTATGTACTTGGAAATTTTTAGTACTAGGAATTACAAAATAACCTGCTTGCATTTGTCAAGTGGCAATTGAGTACAGTTAGCCAGTCACTCCTGGTAAACACATACTGTGATTTGCTTTACCCAGATGAAAGGGAAGCAGTACTGTTTGATGAAGTAACTTTTTATCTATCAACTAGCACATTCCTCCCAGGGCTGGCACTAGACACAGAATAAGATTTGATGTCCCTTTCCTCTGATCAGTGTTTATATCTTTCCTCTTATCAGTCCTTCCAGGAAGGGAGAAAACTGCATTTCCACTACATATTTCAGTCAGGGTGTGGAAATTTATTATTTGTGTCCACTACATAAATGACATTTCTGAGTTACAATGGTCTTGTTTGAGAGAGATCATAAAAGCTTATGGATAATGGCATCTAAGAAATCCAAATATATTACCCTAGCTATGGAGAGGCTAGCAAAATGGCTTCACCTACTGCATCCATTGTAGCGTTCACCCCTCATTGGCTGCAGCATTCTTAAGCAGAGTAGTTAGAAACACAGCCCTGATAATACAGTAAACTCAAACTGGCAACACACCTGTGGAAAAGGAATTTCATCTTAAAATCAGAAAAAACTTTTAAAATAATTAATTAAACCTGAAGACAAAGGTTTCTAAGTAACAGTTCACTTTGACAAAAATATCAGAAAATCCAACAGATATATTTGTTCTGTATCCTTCTACTGTACCACACTTGGACTGACCTGGCTTAACTGAGACAGTCAATGAACATGGTCCCCTTGCATCCATGTCAAAATTTAGATGGGGGAAAATGATTTTCCTTTTGACTGTAATAGATTAACTTTCTGGAGAGCCAAAGGAGGTGGAAGAAGAGGTAAAATTTCGCTAAGGACAACCAGGAATATTTCTGTAATGGACAATCACTAGATCCACTTTTGGCATTTTATGACTTTTTGTACAAAAATATTCCTGCTCATTCTCCAACACATTCCTGCCATCAAATATTTCAGCATTTTAAACCAGAGGTTCTGTTACAAAATGTAAGGTGGTTAACATTCCATGTCACATGCAACCAGTTATTTTATTTTTAGTCAAAAATTTAAAAAAAATACAAAAAATATTTGTTATAATTATCTTTATAAACAGTATCATTTCTGTGTGAGATTTAAGCTGGTAATAGCTGGAATTTCAAAATATACTTTAAATTATTTCAATGTTGTATTTCAATGTTCAGATCATAAAAGAGTTTATAAAGGGACCAACAGATAAGTCTACTGGCCACAAATTCCCTTAAGAATAGCATGTCTCCTTCAGGGAATATTTGTTTCTTCAAGTAGATTTAGTGCTGGGATAACATGGTGGTTGATGCACAAACACAGGCTGTTGATAAAGTGGCGCTGCATACCGTTCTTGTAACGAGTTATAAAGGTGCAATTGCCTGCAGTTCATCAGCATGGATGTGACAATGAAGTTCTGCTTTACAAATTCCAGGCACTAGGGATTTTGTGATAGTGATTACAGGAGGCTCTTCTTCCCCTGCAAAGAGAAAACTGTACTTTACTTTTGAATGACTTTTTTTAGTTGTTCAACATACAACTATACTTATACGTAGGGTGGCCATCATAGAGGACATTCTGGTTTTCTGCCACTCTGTCCTCTATCGATACGAAACCCAATGCCTTCAATCTTCAAGAAGAAAAAAAAGGAGGACACAAAAGACATCCGGTTTCGTATCAATAGAGGACAGAGAAAAAACGGACTGTCTTCTATGATGGCCACCCTACCTATATATGACGACTAATTCCTAAGACCTAACCACCAATGCAAATCTTTTCTGAAAATCAGCTATTTAGAGAAGCTATCAATGATCAACAAACTCAGGCTGCATACACACATTCACATCATCCAGGACAACTCCCCCAGGTTTGTTTTTAAGTTCAAGCAAAGAAGCAAGGAGCCTGCAGTGTGGATGCTGGTTGCCAGGGATCCCTAGAGCAGTGGCCCAAAGAGCTCTGTAGGTTTTGGGTTGTTTTTTTTTAAAATGAATATAAACAGGGATGGCAGGGTCAGAGGAGGTAGGAGCTGGGTCTGTGCTGGGCACAGTGCCTTCCAGCTTTCCTTTCCCCCAACCACATGCTGTCTTCTACCAGCTTGCTGTGGTCCGGCCCAGATACACCTGGGCAGAGAGCATGCTTGAATGCCTCCCAGCACTTAAGTGCTGCAGTGTGATTCAGGCAGGGAACAGGCCAGTAGTAGGACATGCCCTAAGTGCTTCAGCACTGGGCTTTTCCAGCCCAAAGCATTCAGACAGTGTGTTCTGCTCCCTGCTTGTCTGGGACTGATACACACTCTCCCTTCCCCTGTGGGAGGGGGAGAAAAAAGCAGTGAAGCACACTGGCTGCCTGTACACAAGTTCTGTCTCCTGGGATACAGTCTCTGGGAAGCCACTTCACTTGGGTCATTTTTGAGTTATTTTTCTCCCAGAGTGATCACTTTTACTTTGGGAAAAAATTATGAACTTCTGTACACTCATACAGGACTCTTCCTGGAAAAAACTGAACGTCTGTCCAAGACCTTATGTTATGGCATAATGAACGAGATTTGGGAACTCCCCAAAGTCAGCTTGAACCTTAGTACAATGTATCTAAATTGATGGCCTTTGGGATTTGTACTTGCACTCAGAGATGAAAGCAGATAATACTTTAAAGAAGAAAGGAAAGGTCTGGCCTGAGGTTTGCATAGACATTTGATAACTGCACAAACATAGGGAGATTTATTGTGATGCTCAGCTTAAGTGACTGTTAAAGTTGGGTAGTTAGGATGGAAGTCTTATTTCACAGGTGTTTTTAATAGCCCCGACAAGAGGGCATTTTGAACCAGTGACTGCTCCTAAATTCCAGAAAATGCATACCAATCACATAATGTTTGTGCATCTCGCTATTAAAAGGTACTTATGAATTAAGAAGTGTATTTGAGACATTTGGAAAGTATCTGGATTATAGTTTCTTAAGAAGACAAACAATGCTCAATTTTGGAGTCTCGTCATTGCCCAGTGGAAATATGAATTGTGGCTTGGATGAAGGGCCATCTGGCTCAGATTCATTCCAAACAAGACTAGTGTAATGTTGGTGGACTAGGTGAAGAAACTGGGGGAAAAAAAACACCAAAGGTTATTTTGTTTCCTTTGATTGGGCAAGTATGCTTGCTGTTTGTAAGACAGCCTCAAAACCTCTTCCCTCGGGTTCATCTTTGCCAGTCAACACTAGAGTTTTAAAATGTGCTAGTTAAAATGTTAGTTACAATGAGAATTAACTTTTGGAGAGAGAACCTGGCAGCAGAGGTGAGTTCACTGCCAGCTCCCAAATATAAACAGGAGGAGAGTCCCGGCAGAGCGTTCTTCTAGAGAACCTGAAGCTGGTTTGGTTTAATGCAGATAGAAGCCTACCAGCATGCAAACTGTGCATTCTCCCAGGACCATGAGTAAAAGCTGGACTAGCACTGCTGAGGGAATTAATAAGAACATGTAGATCTCAAGTGTCTGGCTGTTTGAGGAGGTGTTCACAGTTTACTTGATTAAATAAATACATTCATATTTTTCCCAAAGGATTAAAGTTTGCACATTCAGATTGCAGATAATTGTTCCAAAAGACTTGCTAATTGTTCCCTTCCATATTCACCACCACCTCACCCTCCCAAAACCAAATCTTGCAGCAAGCCATCCCTCTGAGTCTGATACTTTAATACCCAAAAACAGAAAATCACTTACAATTAAAGGACAAGACTTTGTTTCAGCACATACTCAATTCATGAAAGCTGGATAACATTTACCTGTCCTGTGTCACAGAGGTGTAACAAGAAGAGCTGGCACCCTGGGCAAACACTAAGGGCAGAGTGGTGGGATAGGGCGGCAGTCTTTCCCTGCTAGGAATTCCTAAAGCAGGGGTGAGCAAAATGGCAGATCTGGCCAGTGGCCGGATTCCATTTCCAAACAGCCCCTACCCATGCTGCTCTAGCCAATCTCCATGGAGGCCCCAGGAGCAGCAGGCTTGTCCCAGCCCCACGCTCCTAGGGTCTCCATGGAGACCAGTCCAGAGTCACACTGGCAGGGCACATGGCTGGGTAAGGAGCTGCTCTGGTACCGGAACCCAGGCTGGGATCTTGCAGCCATGACAGCGTGGGCCAAAGACGGGACAGGGCCATGATCTGCTGCGCACACGCTCCTGCTGTGGAACCTGCACTCGTTGCAAGGGTGTGTCAGCAGCAGATCACAGCTCTGCCCAGCTTCAGCCTATGCCATCACTGCTGCAAGATTCCCACCTGAGCCCCAGTCCCAGCCCTAGAGCAGCTGCCTGCTGTCACGGGCAGGGCCTAGGAGCGGCCAGGATCCCGCTAGCGCCCCCTGCCGTGTCAAGTAGGCGATCCAGCACCCTCTATTCTCACCCGCCACGTCTTTGATGAAATATAGTTTGATATATGGGAGGCTGCCTTCGATCCCCTTATACACGGTACTATGCTTATTGTTCCCCGTTCCTTTTGGAGTGACAAGTTGTACCCCAGCCTTAAGGGCTACGTGTGCCTCCTGCCTCCCCTTTAGCATGCCCCAAGCCTCGCAGATCTTCCGGACGTTATCATGTCCAATTCCTACCTGCGCCTTCCCTGGCGCCCCTGGGCTCGTCACGCCACCGGCGCCCCTCTACTCATTAGCCCTATCGGGCTTACTAGTGATCCTTTTACCCACTGGGATCGGCGGCCTAAGGCTTGCCTGGCCCCTCTGGGTTTCTGTCAATAATCAGTATCCAATTAGGCTCAGGCAGCCTAAGCCTTACCTGGCCCCTCTGACCCTTTTGGGTTACTGCCAGGATTATGTGT